CGGTTCAGCTGGGCAAGGGTTTCCATTTCATGAAAAGTGTGTAGCAAACGCACAGGCGCAGGGTGCGCATGACTGCCTCCCTGTCCACCTGGCCTGCCAGACACACCAGGGGGCCTGCTCCTCTGGGATGTTGGGGTTCACCTGACATGCCACTAGCATTTCTACCCACAAAACGACAGAGCCTGGAGATGGGGAGGCATGGGAGACGAGCCAGGCGGGTGAATGCCTTTGCCCCCGCCTGGCCAGTGTGACTGCACTGGGAAGCTCTGCCTTGCTCAGTGAAAACCCAGACAACAATGCCCATCAGTCTCCAGCTGGCAAGTCTGAGCTGGTGACATCACTCGGGTTTGGGAAGTGAGGGAGCCAATCAGATCACTGTGCTCCTGGGAACATTTTATACTCCTTGGCTTTGTCACCTATCAGTCATTCCCTTGTGACCCACGGGAATCCGCAGCCAAGCAGCTGCTTGACTGGGAGGCAGGATGACTAGCCCAGAGCCCTAAGGCCTGAAAAGTGCAACTGTCTAATGGGTCTTCTGGAAGTGGGGCTGTAAAATCCCGCTGAATTGGTTAACCAGTTAGATGCCTAACCAGTTAACTGAGGGGGGGCGGTCGGGAAGGCTGGAGCTGCCCCAGCCCGGAGCAGCCCCCACTCATGGCCCCAATGCCCCACTGAATTGTAACACTGACCAGCACTGGGAAATTGATACCTCAAAGCACCAAATGAGTCCTCCTGGCCGTGGCTTTGCAGGCAGCCTCCCAGGCTGCAGGGGCCCTGCCTGCAGGAATGGAGAGGCTGAGAAGGCACTGAGGCTCTCGGGAAGGGCCGAGGAGCCAGGGCCTTGCAGGCCACAGGCCGGGGCAATGCCCGGCAGGTTTGGCTAATGGAGCCGGCCCTGTTTCAAGCCACAGTTGTCCCATTCCGGGGCTCACACCACGCCCTCCCTGCGAGAGCAGAGCGCTGGTCCTGGACGTTGCCGAAAGGCGACCCCCGCACCCAGAGCTGCTCCGGCTGGGCGCTAGCGGCCCGAGCACAGGGTTTGTTTCCAAGAGGCGAGCAGGAGAAATGGCTCCGAAAGCAGAAATGCTGGTAGGAGAGGAGCAGCCAGGCACCGAGAGGCGACCCTGCCTCCCGCACGGCGGCTGAGCTCTGCAGGAAGGCAGCGGCTTTGCACTCCCTCCGGCCAGTTCCCGGCAAGGAAAGCCGGAGCAGGAGCAGGAGAGCGGGCCCCGAGCACAGCGGCCAGCATGGAGTCCCCCCGGCTTTCCGGGTGCTGGGCGCCTCCTCCGTCCCCTGCTGAAGGAGCAGCGAGGCTCCCACTGCCCCTCCCCACACGGCTGGGCTAAGGCGATGCGGCAGGTCCACGTTCCGTCAAGCCAGCAGTTCATCTCCTGCCCCACAGCTCGGCCTCCGGGAAGCCAGTCACCTCCCCCACCTCGCAGAAGGGCCGCCCGCCCTGCGTGAACGTCAGCTTGTGCCGCAGTCGGACGGGGTGCTGGGCGGGGGAGAGAGGAGCGTTACCCGGGCAGGTTACGGGGCCTGCTCCCCGCCACCCCCCCGCTGCCAATGCCAAGGGTCCCCTGCCGCGGGAGGGCAACGCGCGAGCAATGGACACCGCTCTGGTAACACTGGGGGGCGTGTCCCACAGGCACCCAAGGGAGCTCGGACAGCTGCACCTGGCAGCAGAGATGGCTGAGGGTCCCCCAGCCCTCACCACCACTAACCGCAGAGTCACCCTCCGGGGTTGCCCATCTGGGGTCCCCTCTGCTCCACCAGCGTTCAGTCCCAGGGACCACCGGGCTGCAGAGGGGGGAAAGCAGCATCAGCTGGGCTCTCCTGGCTCATCCCCCCCTGCCCTTGCAGCCTCTGATGGCGCCCACTTCCCCATGAGTCAGAGCTCCTCAGAGCCGCTGCCCTGCTGGCAGACCCCCGAGCCTCAGGGCCCTGGCGCCTGCCCTTGGCACTCCGAGCCGCTGCCACCTACTCTGTGTGGGTTGGCGAGCAGCAGGACCTGGGATATCACGGCTGGAGGGAGCAACGGGCTGAAGGCAGGAAGCTCAGAACCAGACGCCGGCTGCAGCTTTATGCTCATAGCCTGCCGGGGAGAGAGCACAAGAGACGTGGTCTAATCTCCGCTGGAGATGGGCGCCCGAGGGCCGGTCCTGCCCGCCACTCCCACACTAGCGCTCCAGGAGCGGCGCTCAGGGAGGAGAGGAGCATGCAACGGAAACCCTCCGGGTACGTCTACACAGCAACGTCCTTTCGCGCTAGCTTAGCCCGCGTCTCCACAGCTGGCAGGGACTCCGGAATAACGGCGAGCTGGAGGCCTTACTGGACGAGCAAGGGAAGGCGGAGGAGGACTCTGGAAATCAGCGCTGTGTAGACGCTCCCCGCACCACTCACGTAGCCCGATTTGCATCGCTTATTTCAAGTTACGCCCTGCTGCTAGACGCGGCCTCAGGGCTCCTGGGAGGCAGCTGCTGTTACCAGCCCAGGAGCCCAGGGCAGGGTGTCCCGGTTCTGGCACAAGGCTTAGGGCGGAGGCTTGCAGGTGGGCTCTGGAGGGAGTGGTCAGTGCCAGGGGCTGGCTGTACTTGGGAGCAAAAGGCTACAGGCCAGGGGCAGGAACGTGCCCGTGCTCCTGAGAGGACAGCACCGTGCAGGGAGCCAGGGGACAGAGCTCCAAAATCCGGGGTTGGGCCCTTGGCATAACCCTGGGAATGGAGCACAGGCCCAGCGTGCCAAGCCCCGGGGTCTGTTCCGCGGCTCTGTGCACACAGGGGTCTCACAGCCGTGGCTCTCCCCACCGCCCGGTACCCCAAAGGCACGCCCCGGCAGCAGGGCCTTTAACCGAGCACGGGGCAGACAGGATGTGTGGCTTCCTCAGTGCTAGGCCCGGCACCCGGCCGGGTCTCCCGGGAAGAGGGGCGGGCAGGCCACTGCTCCCCGCCAGTGCTCGAGGGAACCCCTAAGCCAGAGGCCAGGCTTCCACTCAGCGCAGCTGCCCCGTGGTCTCACCTTTGGGACGGCGGCCTGGAACACAACGTCCTTCACGGGCAGAGCAGAAGTGCTCAGCACGGAGAGCACCAGCACCAGCACGTCTGGTCGCCCGGGGGCTGGGTCTCTGGAGAAATGGAGCATGGCCTTGAGTCCGTTTTGATCATACACGGTGACTGGCGGGACGGTGCCTGTCAGAGGCAGAACAGAGTGAAAGGGGGACCCGCCCCTTCCCGAGGGGCCAGGAGAGCCACAGACTGAGGCACAAAGGAAAGGAAACGTTTTCGCCCCCCTCCGGAGCAACCCAGCCAGGGCAAAGCCCACGGGGACTCGCACACCTGTTCTGCTCCTCTGCGCCCGAGCGCAGGGAACCCAAGCCTGCCTACAGCCAGGGCTGCAAGCGCCGATCCCCGCAGGGACCTCCCTCACCAGGCCCCCAAGTCTCCTGAAGTCCTTCCCGCCGAAGGCACACAAGGAGGGAACGAAGCCCCCGAGTCTCTCTCTATAGCTCCGGGCTGGGCCTCGAGCATGACACCGACGCGCCCCAGCTGGGCTTCGCTGCCTGGGCGCAGTCCCCCAGGGAAAGGCAGAGGGAACGGAGCCCAGAGGTCGCCTGCTCGTGCGCCAGGTGAGGCAGACTCTGGCATGACGGGTGCCCAGGCCCGGCGGGGAGCTGCTCCGAGCAGAGCAGGGAAAGATGTCTCTGTACCATGAGAGCAGCAGGCAGCCTGGCCATTGGCTAGGGAGGGCAACAGACATCTCCAGAGCCGGACAGACTAGGTTCCGGGCAGTCCCCCCGCAACGCATCCAGCTGCCCTTTCCGCCCACGCGCAATCCCAGCCTCCAAGGCCGCCAAGAAGCTGCACTGAGCACAGCCGGGACACTTACTCGGTGTCACTGAAGTGAGCGGGACGAAAAGGTCGGCCAGAGCAGCAGCATGGGAGGCTGGCTGCGACGGAGCGGCAGGTTTCAGCTCGCAGGCTGGGTCAGGGAGCAAAGCTCCTGCAGCTAAGCTGCTCGGAAGGCCTGCCGGGGACAGCTGCACTGGTGACAAGCTCCTGGAAGGAAAACCATCCAGATCACACCGCCGACCCCTTCCTCGCCTGCGTCCGCCCTGCCCTGAGCCTCCGCCCCGCAGGGGCCAAGGAACCTACTGTCCCAGCCCCTGGGAGCGGCTGTCACGGTGGGAGGCAGACGTGATTCCACAGGGGAGATGCTGCTGCTTCAGCGTTCGTTGGGCTGAACCTCTGTCTGCTGCCACGAGCAGATTTCATGACAGGTGCTGGCAGCTGCTCTCCCTGGCCGCCGGAGCCAGGCTCCACTACAACCCTGCTTCAGTCTCCCCGTCCCGCTGGCCAAAAGTGGAGAAAGCTGCCGCGAGCGTTATTCGAGTGGCAGAGAGGCAGAAAAAGGCCCAATTTTTGGATGGATGGATGGAAGTGGGGGGAGGGGAGAGAAAACTAGGTTACGAAGATCACAACAGCCAGCCTGGGTCAGCCCACAGGTGCGTCCAGCCCGGTGTCCTGTCTGCCGGCAGCAGCCCGTGCCCGATGCTTCCAAGGGAATGAACAGAATTCGGGAACGTCGAGTGATCCAGCCCAGGCGCCCCATCCCAGCTTCTGGCGGTTCAGGGACACCCGGAGCACAGTTGCATCCCTGCCCACCCTGGCTAGTAGCCGCAGGGACCCGCCCTCCGGGCGTCTCTCCTTTGCTGAACTCAGCTGTGCTTTCGGCTGCCACACAGAGCCGCGCGGGGCGGTGGCGTGCCGCCAAAGCGGCCCGGCCTTGTGTTTGAGACCAGCTGTGGGCCGCGGGGCAGCCTGCCCCCTACTGGCTGGTGGCAGTGTAACAGGCTCCCCTGCCCCCGCCAGCGTGCTCTGCCGTTGGCTTACGTTGGCTATGGCCCGGTCACCGGAGATGGAGGCAGCTGCCCTGCCCAATCCTGAAGCACGTTCCGGGGCGGCGCGCCTCCCTGCCAGTGCTCCCCCAGCACGCCGGGTGGAGGACAGCCGCTGTGCCCAGCACCCTGCCAAACAGAGAGAACCCCGGGGGCCCTGCGGACACTGCTGGCACGGGGCCATGACGGGCCAGGCGCCGGCGAGGCCCACCCCAGCCGCACACAGACCAGGGCTGAGACACCGAGCGCTGCCTCCTCCCGACCCTGCCCCGCTGGCGGCTCTGCGTGTGCAGATCCCTCCAACGCCCAGGAGGTGCTGAGCTCCTGCGCTGCCGGCAGAGGCCTCTCCCCCTAAGCGGAAGGAGAATTTCCCTTAGCAGCAGGGGTGAAAGGCGGCCGGTGTGCCTGGTGCAGCGCTCCGGCAAGAACCCAGCCGGCTGCTGCCCTCCGCTGCAGTGCAGGGGCAGCGCGCCCAGCCTGGCTCCCGGAGGTTACCTAGGGGGAGTAAGTAAGTACGCCAGGCCGGTTCAAGGGGCTGGGCGGGAGCGCGCCCCCCTACCTGGCACTGCCCCAGCTCTGAGCCCTGCTCAGCTGTTTTGGGAGGGGGGAGGCCGCAGCCGCACATAACGGGTCCCTGCTGCTTTTCTTCTCCGTCCTCTGACTCGGGAGAAGAGCACAGCCTGCAGCATTCCTCTTGCTCCCGCCCCCCCAGTCCCCTGCCCTGAGCCCCTCCTCAGACCCCCGGCCCGACTCCTGCCCCCCCGCACTCACTCCTCCCCCATCACCCTCCGGCCCTGAGCCCCGCCCTCCCTGCCCTGACTCCTGCGCCCCCGCACTCACTCCTCCCCCATCACCCTCCGGCCCTGAGCCCCGCCCTCCCTGCCCTGACTCCTGCGCCCCCGCACTCACTCCTCCCCCATCACCCTCCGGCCCTGAGCCCCGCCCTCCCTGCCCTGACTCCTGCGCCCCCGCACTCACTCCTCCCCCATCACCCTCCGGCCCTGAGCCCCGCCCTCCCTGCCCTGACTCCTGCGCCCCCGCACTCACTCCTCCCCCATCACCCTCCGGCCCTGAGCCCCGCCCTCCCTGCCCTGACTCCTGCGCCCCCGCACTCACTCCTCCCCCATCACCCTCCGGCCCTGAGCCCCGCCCTCCCTGCCCTGACTCCTGCGCCCCCGCACTCACTCCTCCCCCATCACCCTCCGGCCCTGAGCCCCGCCCTCCCTGCCCTGACTCCTGCGCCCCCGCACTCACTCCTCCCCCATCACCCTCCGGCCCTGAGCCCCACACTCCCTGCCCTGACTCCTCACCCCCCCACCCCCGCCCTGAGCCCTTCACACTCCATCCCACACTTAAATTTCTTACCGGTACTGTGGGATCGCACCCCTCTGAGGGTGCCAAACAAGAGTACCTGTAAGAAACGTGAGTGACTTTGACCCCGGCGTAGCTGCCTACGGCATTAGGGCTCAGCACCCTTCTAACCGCAGAGCACGTGCAGAGCTGATCCTGTCCAGTAGGGGTCAGTGGCGCACACACCACGTCACCTCCCAGGAATACGGATCAGCCCAGTATCGCCAGCGCCAGGCAGGCGGGGCAGGAGACAGCATGCAAACCGCTCACCTGCATGGAGCCGAAATCAGGTGCCGGCCTCTGTCCAACGGGGGAATCGCTGAGCCCTAGGGCAGTAGCCAAAACACAGAGCAGTCAGCACAGGCGGGGCTCTCCCCACCGCCGAGTACCTTCGAGGTCTAACAGCAGCGCTGCACCGCGCCCGACTCCCCCAACCTCCCAGCATTCGCCCGGACTCAGCAGGCCCTGGGCGGGGCAAGACCAAGCTTCAGAAGAAACCCACCGAACCCTCAAGATCCCCCGCATCCCGAACCCTCAAAGGCAGCCCCGTCCCCGCGCCCGAGGACAGACCTAGGGCCATCAGCTCCTTGTCCAGCAGGCAGGAAGAGGTGCTGCTGCGCTGGGCGGTGGCTGGCGCATTCCCGCTCCGCGCCGGGGGAGACGCCGGCCTGGAATCCAGCTCGGAGAAGTCGATCAGCGTGTAGCATTTTGTAGCACCCGGCGGGGACCGAGGGGCTTCGGGGCGAGAGGGAGAGTTAAAGAACTGCCCCTCCCCTGGGCTGCGCCCTGGCCTAGCTCAGCAGGGTTCGAACCCTCGCACTAGCGACCCCGCTCCCACAGCAAGCCTCTGAGTGACTCCCCCTTTCAAATTAATTAAATGGGAGCCTGGGGGGTGTCAGCCCCGGGATCTGTCAGCTCACAACCCCTAGGTAACCACGTTGCGTCCACACCACCCCCAGCTTGAGAGCCCTGGTTACCTGAACCACACGGGGCGGAGAGGGGAGGGGGCTTTCGTGAGCACTTTTAGAACACCTGTATTGAAAACCCTACAGCTGGAAACACCCTAGAAAATCTGGAGAGGCCTGGCACGGTGCTAGGAGCACGAGGCCCCTTCCAGTCCTGGGCTCCATCAGCCCTGGGCACTGAACAGGGTTCAAGCGGCTCCGAGTGGCAGGCTCCACAAGGGAGATGGAGCCCAGCTATTTCCACCTCTGCTCAAGAGCCAGGCAGGAGCCAGTGGCTGGGGGGGGGGGGGGGCGGGC